ATACAGAAATCGAATTGTAACAAAGGATTCTTGGTAGAAATTTTCAATATTAATTAATAAGTCAAATTAATTAATAATGAACTTGATCGATAAAATTTAGACCAGTTTTATTCGACCTCTTTAAATACGATAATACCTCTTTTCACCGCCAGATAGCGAGTAATATTATCTGTAAACCTGCAAGTGTCAAATTAGAAATAATGGTATAAGTCGAAACATGGTTTCAAATTGGAGTGTCTTTAACATCGCAATAGCTGAAGCATTGGCATTGCCCCTACTCCACTGTATTAACGTATTCTACTTGTTACCGAATCAATGTGCCCCTACTGTACATTTCAAAATGATCGTTTTCATTTGCCAAAAACTACCCATCGAGCATTTCTATCAAGGATTATCATGTAAAATATTAATACTTATATATTACGGCTGGTCACGTTTCGTAAGAAAGAAAGAAAAAAAAGGCGCAACATTTACGCGGTTTTTCCGTGGAAGATCTTTGAAAAAAAATAAGGAAAGTGCATACACACATACGTATATGAAACGCGGACTTCGTGCTCGTCCGTGATATCGCTTTTACTTTTGATTATATTATGCGCGCGCTCGCGCGTCGGGCATATAATATTCAAAGCCGCAGAGAGCAGCACGAGCGTATATGTATACGCATACACGCGGTCAAGACGCACACATGTGTATCCGAAAGAAAAAAAAATATAATTCATATCGCGTATATGATACCAGACTCATTCGCTATATCGTATTATATACGCGTCTGGAAACGATTGAATTTCACGCGCCAAGAAGTTTTCTAATTAAAAACTCGGCTTTTCGCGAGTCCATTATACACACACACACACACACGTATCGTGTACGATACGCGTATGATTTACGCACTTTTGTGGAAACTCAAAGGCACTACATGGATACGCGTATAAGCGAGCGTACGAGAGGAATATTAGATTCCTTCGGCCGGCTGCCGCCGCGCGGCATCTTATTATACGTATCGCGCTGGAGCACAGCTCCTTTTTCTTATTATTATCAGTAATCTAGGGCCTGTGTGTGTGCGCGTGCATTATTATATATACATCGCAAGGCAGCGTACAGCGCGCGTCTAGCAAGCAAGAAAATCGATTGAACTCGTAAAGAAGAAGAAAAAAAAAAGAAGTTTACAATGTTATTACGCGCGCGGAGGGTTTTGAAAAAAAAACTACAGCAGCAGCTACAGCAGCAGCAACAACAGCAACAACGCAACGAAGATATTATACAGGAAATTAGTTATGCTACGGCTGGCCGCTACTATAATAACAACGCGCGCGTATAATAAACAATGTTTCGCGCGCGATATATGTGTATACAGGAGGGTACTTTGCCTCGATAATGACCCGCGCGCTATTGCGGCGTATAATATATATGTACGCGTATTCGAATTATTTACGAGATTGAGCGCGTTGTGGTACTTTTTTTTCATCTATGTAGAAATAACGTAATAAGAATCGTCCATCAAAGTCGCGCGCGTCTCTGATAGATCGCGAGACATAAATTGCGATGCGTGTACGATCAACGCTTGCCAATTATTATTAGATCTTTTGTTTATTAATTGCCGTACAGCAGTTTATAAGTTGAACGAATGGAGTGCGATCTTATCCCCTCGCGTGCACGTTATATGCAATATACGCATTACGACTGTCGTTACGACCTCTCTCACCTCTCCTCCTCGTGCTTTTCCCATTCTTGTGTATATGGTAACATTATTTCGGGCTTGATTTACGCACGTAACAATGCGAGGTGTATCTTTCTTTCTTTCTTCGAGTCGTACACATAAACACCATGCGTAACGCGTGAATAAATTAGCGCCGTGTGTATGTGGGTGTGTGTAAGACACGCGCATGTGTGTCTGTAGTGCAGCTCAGTAAGAGAGCGAGAAAAGAATCGCGCGCGAGTATTTCCCGCGCGCGCGAATTTGAGATGCGTTACGTACCTCGTGAGAATCAAAGTCGTTCCGTCCCCGTGTTGAATTCGTACAGGTATTAGAAGATACATTTATCCGGGGGGCTCTATATATAGACTTATCGTCGGCATGACTGGCGAATGCGAACGTATTTTATTAAAGAAAATCAGCTTAGAATCGGAAAGAAAGCGTGGATGTTATTGCGCCGCCAAGCGTATAATATTTGTAATGCCACTATACGTAATTAATATATTGTGCAAAAAAGTTGAAGTCGGAGACATTACGCGCGCATTCAACCCTCTTCTGCCATGAGGCATTTCGCAATCGTTGAGTAATCGAGCTCGACTATATACGTTCGTATTATACCGCGTACATGTGTGTCGACTCTATACATCGTCATTGTTGCCGTGTAGTACGTGTGTGATAACACGTCATGAATTTTGCGCGATATGTTACCGACAGAAGAACGACACATTTAATATTTTATATACAATGATAAAAAAGCAGCAATGACGCGATCGAAGTCACGGAAATATTAAAAGCTGTGTGCAAGCCAATCGGACCGAGAGATCGGTATGTACACGTTCGAAACGCGCGAGATCGTTTTGCACACAGCCAAACCGCAGCGGCGTGGAGCGCACCCGATTTCGTAAAGTATAATTGCCGCCGCGTGCTTACACACACATACACGCACACACTTCTGAATCGGCAATTTATCAACGATTAGCTACTAATTCTCTCGATCCGCAATCAAAATATATCTTCTGTCGCAAGAATTGAGCAATACTTTTATACTTCTCGACGTTTTCGCGTAAATATTTTGACATTTCTCGTAATACACCTAATGAGTATATACCGCGACGATATAATAAAAGACACTCGAGGCGATGCTGCCGCTGCTGCTCGGACGCGAGCTCGCAAACCATATAGCCACCTGTTGGCCTGCGAAAAATTCGAAAGGATGCCAGTGGCCGATTTATATACACGTGTATACACGTATAGTCGTATATATCGCTCTCTCATCGTTTGTGCGACGACGCTCCGCGCGAGGATCGAAAAAGAAAGGGTCACGTCGTCGTCGTCGTCGTCGGCAGTGGCGAAAGCTCGGCGTCGCGTGCACATGCACACGAAAATTCAGGACAATTCCTTCGCTTGTGTATCGAGTACACTCCGCGCCGCTTATTCAATTGGACGAAGCAGCACGAGGAGGGCCGCATCTATATAAGCGCGCGCGGCGCGGGCATTATGCCATTGTAACAATCGGGCATTACTTTTTCGCGGATGTATTATAAGCTAGGCTTCTATATACCGCATTTATAGCCGCGAGCACTCGAAATCTATAGGTACTGTGTATAAGCGCCTAGATATGTATGACGCGCCTCGCGAAACACGCGGGGCCCTCTAATGTCACGGATCGAGCTATACAGTGAGAAAGAGGGAGATATTATACTTTCACGGTTACATATCGTGATCTTCGATGATATATCAACAAAGTCGAAACGATCAGCGCGACGATTTTATCCCTTCGTAATTTCGGAGTTTTTTTTCATACAGACATACATACGAAGGCGTTTATGCAATCCTCTCTTGGCGAATGCATTTTGAATCGTTGTGTGCATCCCATGCGGTGCATAAACGGATCGCGAAGAAATACTTTCACTGTCTTAATGTTTTTTTTTTTGTATCATTTTTATCCCGTGTACATGTATACGAAACGGGTCAGATTAATCGAGCTCTCGAGGTGAAGAGTAAAATAAAAAAAAAAAACAAGGCGCAGCATTATAAGGAAATAATCATCGCGAGCTTGTTGCTGAACTTTTTATCAAAAAATAAATAAAAATAAAAATAAAATGAGAAAAAAAGTGAAACTCCTTCGATTGCCCGCTGCACGTTCAACAACACGTCCTTTATCTCTCTGCATTTCACTAAATGTATTTCGACTTTTCGTGCATATCGCAGTATCGTATATAAAACTCAAAGCTCATTGTCGTCCACTCATCATGGGATCTTTGAAGTCGTCGTCGTCGTCGAGTGCTCGAACGCGACTAAGCACAATTATAGGATCGCGTGAACGTCTTTTTCTTCTCTATCTTTCTCTTCTCTTTCTCTCGGCTCCTTTCTCGCGAATCATGCATCTTTACCTGGCTTGCATGTACGTGTGGAATAATATATACACACATACACACACGGACGCCTTGCAGCACACATACATACATACACAATCGAGTGTATATGTATAATATATGTATGTTTAAGAAAAAAAGTTCACCTGTCTCTTTTCCACCAACTTCTTTGCTGCAGCAGCAACAGCAGCAGCATCGGCAGCAGCAGTCACGGTATAACCATAATATCCACTGCCTCGCGGTGAATGTTCTTTAACTCTCCCACCTCGTCCGCGCCACCACCACCTCCTCCTCCTCCACCTCCTCATCGTCGTCGTCGTCGTAGTCGTTCTCCGAGACACATATACACAAGCAGCAACAGCAGCACGACTATATATACACATATACACACACGAGCCATAAGACCCATCGCGCTCCGGCGGCTGTCTCCGTCTTTCTCTCGCTCGGCAGCGGGGCCAGCCAGGTCGCGCGCGGCTTTGTAGGCAGCAGCAGCGAGCGAGCAACAGGTATAGAGCCAGGCCAGGCCAGGCTCTCCTCAGTAGCTCATTGGCAGTAGTATAGTGCGCAAAGCTCGCGATTTTATATATATACGCGCTTATACATGACTCGTCTCTCGGTGCACGCGGCGGCCACTATACGGTGTTTTTTTTCTTCCTCTTCTTCTTCGATTGTCAAATGTGTTGAACTCTGCCGAATGCGCGCGGAGAATTTTTTTACCGTAGACGTTTAGTAGACACATAGCATATACAGTAACGGGAAGTTCACCAAGTTTTGACTGTCTTTTCGTGCCTGGGTATTGTTTTTTTTTCTTTCCTTACCTGCAGGAAGTGCGCGCGCGAAGATAAACAGAGAAGAGTATAGAGGAAGAAGAAGAAGAAGGATCGAAAGGGGGAAAAATATAGTGCTTTACAAGTGTGCTGTGTGCTGTTGCCGCTGATATACATTTTGTTATTTACCTACGCATCGTCGTTGCACAAATCCGACACGATTGTCGAAACAAACGAGTACGTATTTTCATATAAATAAATGTTATAAAATATATCGCGACTGCCGATGCTGCTGCTGTTACTTTGCTCTCCCACGGGTACAAGCGAGAGAGAGAGAGAGAAAGAGAGAGATCATCATCAGGAGCGGCGCTGCTGCCTGTTTTATACCTTCTCTCTTCTTATTTCTCTCTCGCGTGTGTATATAGCTATATATAAAACACACACACACACACACACAGCAGCAGCTGCAGCAGCACCGATATACATACACGGGGGCTCTCCGGAGTTCCTCTTAAAGAGACTCTTTTGCGCGACTTCTCGTGGGCTGGTGCGGTGGTGTGTTGTTGTAGGTGAGTGTCCCCTTGTATAAGGCTGCTCGACGACGATATACATATATACGTGCACTTAAAACTCGTTAACGATTCGCATTTAATCGTGTGTGCATGTGTCAGCGATCCGATGTATGTGTGTGTGTGTGTATTTAAAGGACGACGTGAGGCATCGATGCGCGCTCGCGCGCGAATCGCCGTGTATATTTTAATCGAGCGCAGAGATCGACTTTGACACTCGAGAGAGGCTTCCTTTTACTTATCAACGATGTAAATGCACTTTTGTGTGTATGTGTTTGTGTGTATGTGCGTATACTTTGTAACTAGACGAGTTATAAACGAGAGGAAACGTCGTATTTTTGTAATGCACACGATGATACGCGAGCGATGCACGTAGGTACATAGTCGCGAACCGTCAAGCATCGCGATGATCCAATTTTAACGGTACCTCTTACTCGAGTCGTCGTCGTCGTCTACTTTGCCTCCTTGCGCGCGCGAGCGAGCGAGCGCCTGCCTCGTTGCCGCCGTGCACGAATTTGTTTTTGCTTCTTATATAGAGGCCTGTGTCAAACATGAGTCAAGCAAAGCTGATGATAGAAACCAAAGCGGCCGGTGGTATTTTTTTTTATACACGCGGAAAAAATATTTCGAAGGAAAAATAAGTGTTGTATCTGTATGCGAGCAGTAGAGCGTGTAAAGATGACTAACTAATAATAAGGATGAGGAGGAGGAGGTCTGCCACGCGTATATATACAGCTCTCGCGCATGACGCCCGAAGATAACAGTGTAGTATACGCAGCGCACGAGCCGATAGCCGGCTTATACATATCTATATACGTGGTGTATAATATAAAGTAGTAATTAGCATTAAAGGCACTTGTGGCAGGTGTGCGCGATGATGTGCCGTCTATATAATGATACAGTACCTCATCCGAGTGCTGCTGCCTGCAACACTGTTGAGATGCAGCGCAAGCTCCTCCGATAAATACAAAAACAAAAAAACGAAAAAAAAAAAATAAATAAAGGAGCCGAGCTACCGCGATTCATTCTTCACTACTCGGAGGAGGTAAAGTAAAAAAAAATAAAAAAAAACAAGGAGCAAAAATGAGTTTATATATCTCTCTGCGTGCACTGCGCGCGATGGCATGCGCGGTCGTTGTTTCGTAAAGGGAGAGAGATTCGATCGGTGCTTTATTGTTGTATCGCGAATACAATGCCATATATACGCTGCGAGGGTGAAAAATGATTCGAGACGCGCGGTGATAATGAATTTTCAATTCAGCAGCGGCAGCGGCATGAGCGAGCTGCTTCGGGGATTATGTAAAAGGAATTATTACGCACACCTGCGGCCGTGTGTATATATATCTTCGTTATATATATAACGAGATGATGCGTTAATTTTTTTTTCTTTCGAGTCATGAGTCGAGTCAATGATTCGCATCTCGACTCGATGCACATAACGACAGGCGCTCCTTCTTATGTTTCATTTTTTTTTCTTTCAATTTTCTCTGCCCGCGGCGTGCAAATTGAGGCGCACAAGATCGCGCTATATCATCGCGAGGTGTCGAGAGTAGCAGCAATAACGAGTAACGAAAAAAATAAATAAATAAACGTAGGAAAAATAATAATAATAAATCGAAAACCACAAAAGTGACAAGACTGTATTTTATACATTTATACTCTCCTCTGGCTCCAGTGATTGATCTCATCTCGCTCCTCGCGCTGATCTCACTTTTTCTCACTCGATATATACATTATATATATAGCCGCGCATACCTGCATCGCGCTGATAGTCGAGTACAGTACGTGGTAGTAGTATCCCTTTACCCACGCATGCACTTTCACTCTGGCGCGCGCAAACCGATACTCGCGAGGCGGCGGCGGCGGCGCACCGCAGAACTGCAGTGAGCAGCAGCGAGCAGAGATACATACGCCCACGCAACTGCACACAATCGGCAAACGAACCTTTGTACCTCCTCGCGCGCGCGCGTCTGTTGGTTTCGGATCGCCACGAAATAAAAAACTTGAAATAAGAAAAAATAAAAAATTGAAGTTCCTCGATACGCCAGAAAAAGCACCTCGGATTATACCGCGGCTCAGTCGCTTTTTATTTCGCGATTTTTCGTTCGAGAGCTGCTGATCTCCTCCGCTATCCGTTTTTTTTTTTGCTCATTCATCGTTGCACATGGATAGTTGTGTTCGTTGCACCAATGCAGAAAGAGAGAGAGACCCACGGTGTAATGTGTTGCTGCTGCTGCTACTGCTACTTTACGGTAGCTATGATATTATAGTCGAGTGCAACGAACATCGTAAGTGGCGGCTGCATATATAGTTTGCGAATACGTATAGCGATACACACACATATCCATTCGACTCGGAGGGATATCGTTTCAAAGAGTTTCCAACGTCCGCGTGCGGGATTGGAAACGTTTTTCGCGATCCCCCTCGACGTATATAGTCGAGACGTCGTTGCGCAGTTTCGTAATGCGCCACTCGTCGTCGTCGTTGTTGGGTGTTATTTTACTCAAGTGTCAATCCGCGAGAAAGTTTATCTATATGTACATGGGCGGCTCTTTGTGCGCTCTATACCTATGCTGCTGCTGTTGCGGCGGGGCCGCGAGTGGAGAAATTTGAAAAAGCCAATCGCACGTTTTCTTCCTGTACGTAAAGTTCAGACCGATAATTGATTTTTTAGTTGCGTTTTCACACGGTTTACGGCGAGTTTCCAATAACGACGCGCGAGTAAATTTTCGTTGTCTACACGTACGCGAGACACTCATACGTAAGGCTGAAAGCTTTTAACAAAAAAAAAAGAAAAGAGGAGTGAGAAAGAAAGAAGGAAAAAAAGAAAAAGTAGTTAAACGCGGTAATATACAAGCGAACTCGCGCGCGCGCATCTGTTGATTAAAATCGCTTCATTCACTCTGTTGCGGGGCGTAATAATACATTTATCTGAAATAAATGACTGTACACGCAGCGGCAGCGGCAGCATCATCTTTTCCTCGGACGCGCGGTGCACACGTATACACTCACGCACGCACACACGTACACAGCCGCGAGGATGTATGTGTATGGTTTTTCCGCAGCTTCTTCATCTCCTCTCTCTCTTTTGCATTCCGCCCTCGGTGCAATAGCTCTCCTCTTTCTCTCTCTTTCTTACTCTTTCCAAGCCTATACTCGCGTTGCTGAACTGCACACTGCGCCACACGAACTGGTTTCTCTCTCTCTCTCTTCTTTCTCTCTTTTTCTTCTTCAAGCCCTTTTCATAATAATGTATATGGGCTATTCCACAACAGGTGTTGCAGGCCCAAAAAATGAAGTTGAAAGTAACCATTTACTCTTCAAGAACACAATGAAAAATGAAAATCCTGAAGGACACAGCCCCCTAGGTCCAACCCTTATGGATCTACAGGGGCTCAAAGTTGGATTTTCATGGTATGAGGATATTCTGCTTCTTACTCTGCTTTTCTGGGGGGACATAAGAAAAAATTTTTAAACCATGTTTTTTCATGTAAAATTTGATGTAGAATTCAAATCTGTACTCAGATGAGACATTAATAACCTCAAAACCCCTTGAAATAGAAAGTATGGTGTAATAGGACATAAATGTCAAAAAAAAAATATGTTCGTATACCTCAAATCAGCCCATATTGTAATATGTTCATCGATACACCAAAATACAACTTCTGATAAAGTTTGGTAACTGAGTCTCCATTACAGATCATTTTGTAGCTTTTGAAAGCCCAAAAAACATGGTTTTTTCCTCATTTTCCATGTTTTTTGCCTCTTCGCTAGCTACCAAATTGTCTGTAATGGAGACTCAGTTACCAAACTTTATCAGAAGTTGTATTTTGGTGTATCGATGAACATATTACAATATGGGCTGATTTGAGGTATACGAACATATTTTTTTTTTAACATTTGTGTTCTATTACACCATACTTTCTATTTCAAGGGATTTTGAGGTTATTAATGTCTCATCTGAGTACAGATTTGAATTCTACATCAAATTTTACATGAAAAAACATGGTTTAAAAATTTTTTCTTATGTCCCACCAGAAAAGCAGAGTAAGAAGCAGAATATCCTCATACCATGAAAATCCAACTTTGAGCCCCTGTAGATCCGTAAGGGTTGGACCTAGGGGGCTGTGCCCTTCAGGATTTTCATTTTTCATTGTGTTCTTGAAGAGTAAATGGTTACTTTCAACTTCATTTTTTGGGCCTGCAACACCTGTTGTGGAATAGCCCATATATACGTGCGTTGCGGGACTCGTGCAACGCGCGCTCGGCTCGACGCTCTCGACTCTTGTGGATGGAAGCTTAGTATATTAAAGCACACCCGGAGAATGAGAGAATGAGAGAGAGATGAGAGACCGGCGAGCGAACGTGAAACGTCCTGCGCCGCAACAACTCCTACGAGAAAATGATGTATTACGTGTTCGATGTGCGTCAGGAATTTAGCGGTTGTTTTTTCTTTCCTCGCTACTCCGTATGCATCGCTAATGTACGCCTCGCATCGTGTTTACGTGCGTGTTGTGTCTGCGAGCCGAGACATCGGTGGGCTTTCTTCGGCTTCTCGCATACTCCATTGAAATTCGCTCGTGGGTTCGATCGCGTCGTGGTTTTCCAAAGTCGTGCGCGATAATTACAAATAAATACGAACAGTTTTTGGAATCTATTTTTCTATGATACTAAATATGCTTCAGGTACATACGAATCCAACAACTCCTATTATATTTATGCAGTTGATAATGTGCAAGAATGTCACACCTGAAAACTTTTTGCAATTTCTGCTTTTCTCATTTTCTTTCCGTTTTCGTATCTGCACGCGAGAGAAAGAAAGTGCAGCCACAGACTTTGCGTCCAAACATCATAATCGATAACAATGGTCTCAAGTATGAGTTATCAGTGGCCTTTTTAATTTTGTCCTTTTTTCTTCAAACTGACACAGAAAAAAAGTTTCTCAGCCAATAATCGGACTGATACACAACTCGTACTGTACCACACACACACACAATGCACCGAGAAAAAATTCCGAAAATGAAGGTCAAGGTGCACTCGCAGAAAACAAATCTCTCTCGTAACAGCGGCACCCAATTCTCTTAAAAGCCAGACAAAAGCTTCGAAAAATAAATCTCACTCTCCTATACGTGTGTAGAAGTATGCAACCTCCGACTCGCTTGCATTAACAAAGAAAACGTCTATTATAATATTTGTGCCTGTGCTGTTCGAGACTCGTGTGTGTCCGTGTGTTGTGTAAATGTGTATACACATACGTGTATTGTGTGGCTGTGTGTACCATGCGCTGCTCGCTGCTCCGACATCGAGGTAGCGAGGTTAAACTTGTGCGTCGCGTGCACTCCTTTCTTTTTGCCGCGGCTCGATGCATATTATGTTAACTCGTATGTATACACATAGCGCGCTATGCTGCACATGTATGCATGCATGCATGTGGACGTATGTATACATATAGGTACTACACGTGGAATGCGCTGGAGTGGATACATACGCCAACGCGCGCGCGAGCTCGAACTGCAATTGAGATTCAATTCGACGCTGCGATTATTAATATCGAGCCACATGAGTCCTTAGAAGTGTAAGTGTATGTGTGCACGAGATCGAGCTATGTAATTTTCGCTCTCGAAACGCTAATTGAATTCTTAATTGCAATCACGTATTATACGTAACTGTCGTCGCTCGAGCAGCGGGTTCGATAACATTTCGTATATAGACCTATACACGTACATTTATCCGATCATTATTCAAAATGCATTTTATGTTTTTCCGAGCGAATTACTGGGTCAACATTAGTATCGGTGTTGCGCGCGCAAAACAAAGCAGCAAAAAATCGGTATGCACGTAACGATCGCGCGGGGAGAGTGAGAGAGAAAAAAATAATCGGCTCGTGATTATCGATGTATCGCGATCGGCCGCAATTTTTTTTTTCATTCGTTCCTTGAAAAAAACAACAACAACAACTGCTGCTGTTGCTCGTTTACGTATCGGGAAAAGGCAATTTTCAAACTTAACCGATTACGGCGATGATTAAACGGAATATAGTATATGAGCTTCTGGAGGTGGAGATCGCGCGTTTATATATCTTTTCGCGCGCGCGCGCACGCTTGAGTTTATAACAAAAAGCGCAATAATTTAACAAGCGTGTAATTGTTGTATCGGAATGTTTGCGCACACTTGTACGCGTTCTCCCGTATTATATTCGAGAGATGATTAAAGCTCGCGCGAGAGAGAAGTTAATAACTTTTTTTTTACGCGCGTAAGCGTTAAAAAAGAAAAATCATGGATATAATTTTTACTACAACAAACTCGAACACGTGTAACTATATAAGTTTGTGCGTATAGCTGTACCGAGCATTTAAAATTATGCCGCGATACTTTTTGCCATTATTACAATCTGCTCGATCTATAAAAAGAAAAAAAAATAGTAATAATAATCGCGCTCGCGCGCGAGTACATACTATACGCGTATATACTACTCGGAAGGCATCGCGAGCAAAAGAAAGAAAAGGAGAGATAAAAAAATGTGCGTAAAACATAACGTGTAGACACGCGCGCGAGCGCATTGTTATGGGACACATTTGTAAAAGCAGCTGGGAGCGTGTATATAGCGTTGTTTCAATGAGTATGCGTGTACGTGTGCATATATATACTTGCGAAATTTTCCTCCTCCTCTTCCCCCTCAGCCACGCGAGATCGCGACGAAGCTTTGATAGAACTGCACACACACCGACATAATAAACGCCGGTGTTGTGTGTGTGTGTGTGTGTGTTACATTACGATTTCGCGCGCTCGCGCTTACTTCATCTTGCGCGCATTGTTTCGAAAATGCCGCGATGTCTTTGATATTTGGGCCACGATCGCTGGCATTATATATAAGTTTAGATATAATAATAATGAGAAAATTTTCTTCTGTTTTTGTTGTTTGTTGTTCGTTGTGTTTGCAAACCGCAAGATTCGTGCGGAAAAACAGATTTAGGTATATATAATACATACATCCATCTCGTATACAAACCAACTAGAGTTATAGACAATAATGAGTATCGATCGTGCTCAAGTTTACCTCGAAACCCAAATAAAACACAGCGCGCGCGCGTCTGTATACGGTATACGTATCCCATGGACGAAATGTAATTTCACCCGAGATATATCGCCGCGAGTTTGATGCCGCTGCAGCGAGAAAAAAAAATTATTTTACGAGAGTTTAGAAATTATTCATGTACGTATATATATACTACTCCTCGTACACATCCGTGTCCATATAATGTACACGTATAGGCGAAAAAGCGCACGCGGTAAGCGGCGGCAGCAGCAGCTCATCATCTCTGGCGCGGGGCATTTATTGCGATGATTTACCTGGCAGTTGGCTCATCGCCACGCGAGCCCCGCGCCAGAAAGAGAGAGAGACTAGAGAGAGACTAGAGAGTTCAATTAACCTCAAATACCATCTGCTGTATGGTGCAAACTGCACGCCTAGGATAATCTTACACACTTTTTACAACTCGCGCGCGCTAGCCCCGCATTATTATTATATATACCTATCGCGCGCACCGAGAGCAGAGAAGAAAAAAATATTTAAAAAAAATGTTATTCTCGATACTCGCGATTACGATGATTTTACGAGCTTTCCCGCTTATAATGTCGAATTTTCTTTTTTTGTTGTTGCAGCAAGTAATGGCCCTGCGCGGTAGGTGCGGCAAATTGGACGTCAAAAAAAGCTCCTACTATGTCTGGTATCTCGGGGCGCGGGAGGCCAAGGGGGTCCAAGCCATGCCCGACGCCATAGACTATCTGCTGGAGCGCGAGCGACTCCAGGAGCCCTTCAAGGTCACTCTGCAGGTAAGAGATTTAATTTTTTATGTCGTTGTTGCGATTTCTATAAATAATACTATTAAGTACGCATATCCTCGCGAGGAGCTAATTTGGTTGGAATGTATATTATAATGCGTATGTATCTGCGTTGTTTACAATTATTGTGCAGAGTTATTTTGGGATAATTAGTAAACAAAGCTTTTATGCGAATAAATTAAGGACGTTAATCTCGCGCTCGCGCGGGAAGATACACCGCGCGGAGGTCGTATGACACCTCCTCTCATGATGTCGCGGCGTGTATATATATATGGTTATTTTCAGGTTGAAATTAACGATCGAAAAAACCAGGCAACAAAGTCGAGGTGTCCATGCTTATTATTATGAATAAATGATCGTGCTGCCGCTGCAGCAGCATCCTCCATCGAAATTTCCGCGACGACCAACGCATTCTCTCTCTCTCTCAAGATCGTCCGCTTTTTTTTTTTTTTTTAATGTATAAATAATGTATCCAACTCGCGCATCGTTTTATATTATTGTATATTATAAAAGCGAAAGCGGGAAAAATTTATTACTTTAACCCAGATACCGCATTTGGAAATGTTGTTTTTTTTTGTTGTAAATAACAAAAATCACGCTCGCGAATCAAGCACGCTGATCGCCGGTCAGCCAGCAAGGTGTTGCTGCTGCGCCGCTGATCTCGATTCGACGATCGTGTGTTTATGGGTACGTGATATAAACGATCATTTTCACGCCGTTTCGCCGATCGGAACGCGGTATATATATCCAAGGCGGCCGGTTTAGCACGTTTACGAAGCCTTAACACTTATCTATCATACATGCAACCTGAGCAAGCCAGCCAGCCAGCTCCGTACGTCGCGTTGTTAAGTTTTCAATTTGAAAAGTTTCGAGTATAGCAGCGACGGCAGCAGCTGCCACAGGTTTACTCTCATTTTATTAATAGCGGCTTAATCGCTGACGGCTCGACGATGTTGTTGTATATGTATGGCGCGACAAAAAATAAATAAATGCACACACGCAAACGCGCGCAAAAAAAAAACAAGGAACGCGCACGAATGTCGATGCGAAATAATAATAAAATAAACGGGTGTGTCGAGTACAAGCGCAGCAGCAGCAGCAGCAGCAGCGACGAAAGCTTTTCTTCTTTATGCGCCGCGCGTCGAATAAGGTCGGATTTATGTATCAATTATAAGATTTGCTCCGAGCGAAACAAAAAAGAATAAGCCTTTTTCGTTTGCTTGTATACGTGTTTTTGTATATACAGAGAATAAGTTATTCGGCCGATGTATCGGTCGAAGATAACGAGAACGAAAGTGATGAGCGCGAATCTTATACGAAGAAAGCTTGTTTATATAAATTTTCGATTCTCGATATGTATACTATACTATAACCACGTGCAATCCAGATCGCATGAAATATACATATTCGGAGCTGAATATTTTGCCGATGAATATAAACAAGAGGTTTAAATTTAAATCGAGCGCCGATTGTTATTCCACCTTTTATGCATTATATCGAACTCGATTCAGCCGCAGTACCCACTGTACAGAGAGATACAAATGAAATAACAATAATTTTCCAACGCGGCTATCGTATCGTTCGAGCCTGCGTTCGTACTTATCATCGCGAGATCTTTAATTAAGATCGAAACGCTCTTCGAAAAAGTTAATGTATAAAATATATATAAAATAATACATTTTTCCATAATAGCAATTGTCTTCGCTATAAAGTCTCTCTTTCGTCTTGGTTCCGCATGAGAATCGCAGCGACGTCAACCATATACGCGCGCGGCTACTTTTGACGAGAAATAGTACGCGTGATACTTTGCCTCGCGCGCTCGAAGATTTTCTCCCGCGTTGCATTATATACACAGCGCAGCACATATCGTTTTGTTCCTGTGTGTGTGTGTGTATACGCGACGGATAATTACTTAACGACCGAGTACACGGAGCTCCGCGCGGTCATGGATGATCTATGGCGCGCGGCATGTGTGCGCGTTGCAGTATATTTTTCTTCTTCCCGGAGCCATCCTTCCTTCCTTCCTTCATTCTTATAGATCGTTGCACCGAGCTTGTATATAATACGTGAATATATATATATCGTAATTAGATGACAAAGCTCGAGACGCGACTCGTCCGCGAACGATCTTCTCTTTAATATCCGCACACACATAAACAATCGAATTTCGTCCGCGGAGAGGCGCTCAGCGGCGTATATCCGAGGATAAAGGATAAATAAACGAAGAAAGCGGAAAACGAGATAATTATTATGCGCGCGTATGCAGTGCATACTCCTATATATACTATGTATACGCGCTGCGCTTTCAGTTATAACGAGCGAGTATTAACTTTCCTCGTGTGTGTGTGTGTGCGTAGAAGAATCTTTCGCATAAAAGACAATGTACGTGTGTGTATACGACATTGTGCATGGCACGCTGCACCGAAAAAGCTATGCGCTCGCGTTTCCTGCGCTTATACAAATGCTGTATTATAATATAAGCTGCCTTCCTCGACGACGTACGAGTCCGCGCGTCGTCTCGTGCAATTACTCGAGACAATCGGCGGGATCGTGCGGCGGATCGATTATTATTCATAATTTCAGAAGCCAAGAACGCTCCGCGGCGCGTCAACCTCATTGTTTATGCGCTATTCTCGGCAGCTCTCTTTATTATTGACACGGGGGGGGATATATTATGAATAATGCCGGTGCTTAAAATTGCTCGACCAGTCGATCATCGTTGTATATTATAGGCTCAAGTACGTCTGGAACAAAAAGAAAAAAAAATTAAATATCTCCCGTGTATCGGCATTCATATATATTAGTATAATGAATATATAGAGATGATCGCACACGAATCGGCGCGCAATTATGACGAGCGATCGACATTCATAAAAAAAAGACAAGGCTCTTGTATACAAGGAGGCTTCTTTATTAAAGCGTACATCGATGTACTTGAAATTTTTGCCACAAAGGATTTCGGCTTCAATGCCACACACACATCCGCGATCATAATATTCGGCGCGTCATGGAAACTAGAGCAATATCTTTCCATCGCTCGCTCTCGATAGAATGTGCGGTGGATCTATTCTTCGGCGGCTCTTCCGTTGTTTCATCAGACACTCGCACGTGCAGCTCGCTGCAAATTGACGTCGCGCGCATTTTTTCGCGCTGTATAAATTTTTCGAAAAACCTTGAATACATATGTGTGTGATCTAGCCTTTCTCTGCTGCTGCTTTTGCTGAGCTCGCAGCGCAGCAGCAGCAGAAGAGAGAGACAGCAGGCAGAGATCGGTGCATCGGCTGTATTATACAGTTACGAAACGAATAATCCTCTCTCTCTCGCTCACTCAGTCGAGTCTTCGCATATGTGTGTGTACGAATACAGATTGTATATATACGAAGGAACGCACACGTCGATGCGATCTTATATATTATACGGCGCAGCGCGGTGACGATCTCTCGCGTGTATGCCCCGCGCGCACAGTACCTTATATTATTATACCTATATACGTATACGTTCGCGGCGAAAGTCTCGCGGCTTTAAAAACCAATGACCCTGTAAATAAAAGCAACAGCAGCGGCGGCAGCGGAGGACACACTCGCGCGCAGTGTATATCATTGTACATACCTACGTGTCCGTGCATTATACACTGCAGCTAAATGCGCACCGTGATCCTCGGGTACGACATCGACGCGATCACCAACGTCGTCTTCGCTGCTGCTGCTGCTGCTGCTCGGTGCGAGGTATATATTATATGCATTCATGCCAATTGCACCTGCGTAATCGTGACTAATCTCGAGGCTCGCGATATTCGACCGTACGACGCGCAATTCGTATACGCGCGGCCAGGCTATTTAAATATCGTCCGTGTGACAGTCGCACGCGCCAATAATTCCGCGGGCGAATAAAAGACATATGCTGATCGAGAATCGTCCATACTTCTTCGTGTTGTAATAGAAATTTATATTTGTAAATATCAGAATTATAAATCATGTCTACTTATGCGTGTCTAATATTATGCATTCAGTGATATTTGATCGACCATTGCTGCTGTTGAATTTTCCACGTGTACAGGAACCAGTTTGGGGAGTTGGTGTATGAGATCGATAGTAGTATATTAATATGACTTCAATGCGAGGATTTCCCACTGACATATGAGGAGTAGCTACTTGAAAAATCGTGATTATATTTTAGTTAAATTTGAATGAAAGGTAACAGGTTGAATGAATAATAACAGAATTAATAGAAGTTACAAATAATTTATTGTTTTTAATAATAATTATGTAAAAAAAAATATTTTTTGAATTAATCAGCATACCGATAAAGAGTATTTGCTTTTTAATGTACTTCTAAGTTTATCCTGGAATCTAAATGATTTATGACAAACGTCACATCCGAAGTGTTTCTAAATATGTACTGCGTTGACGTGACGTTTGAGAACACCTGATTGTCCGAATGATTTGTGACAATTCTTACATTCAAATTATCAAGGGTTTCTACCATCATGTACAGCATTGATATGAACTTTTAAATCACTTCTATGGAAAAATGATTTGTGACAAACATCACATTCGAAGGGTTTTTTTACGATAATGTAAGTTTTTAGACGATTTTTTGTATCCAAATGATTCATGACAAATGTCACATTAAAAAGGTTTTTTACGTTCATGAACAGAATTTATGTGAACTTTGAGGCTACTTTTTCGTCCAAATGATTCGTGAAAAATATCACACTTGAAGGGTTTGCTACGTTCATGAACTGTATTGATGTGAGATTTGAGGTTGTCTTTGTATCCAAATGATTTGTGGGAAATATCACATTCGAAGGGTTTGTTTCGAGTATGTACTGCATTTATGTGTTTATTGAGGTCACCCTTGTATCCAAATGATTTATGACAAATATCACAGTCGTAAGGTTGGCTACGATAATGGACTGTATTTATGTGCACATTTAGATGGCCTTTGTGTGCAAATGATTTGTGACAGATCTCACATTCATAGGGTTTGCT